GCTAAAAGCCGTGGCTTGGAAGGTTGCCAACTGACGGGGTATCTTGGACCTCCTCCTTGACTGGTGGGATCTGAGAGTCAGGCTGCAATGACTCCTTTTTAATGTGGCCTTTATGGCACTCCTACCACAGTGTGGGATCCGAGCCGGGCGTTGGCGGCACGCCTAGGTGCGACTTCGGTCGTGCCAGCCTCCAAATCTCTCTTGTGTCGGTTGAAATCCAGGTTATTTGTCGTGTGAACCAGGGGGTGTGGTGGAACGCCAAGGTGAGGATCCGTCCGAGCCATTCACCTGCGGCCTCCCCCGTCTCCGGTCTTCTTGACTCTGTCTTGACACCGGGCTCAGGCGGGGGAGGAGCAGAGAGTGTAGGTAGATGCTACGCAAGTCTACTGGCACTATAAACCCCTGCGTAAGTCACCGTCCCTGCTCCCACAATGCAGTCTGTGGGGCACACTGTGGACATCATCGAAATCGATGGTCGAACTGTCGTCGTGTGTGTGTGTGTGTGTGTGTGTGTCAAGGGATACTTAAACAACACCTACCACACTCCCTTCTCCCTACGTACCTTTGCTTCAATGGCAGGACAATGTCAGGACAGCCAGAGGTTAACCGGGGGGCGCAGCAGCTGACAAGGTAAACAACCCGTCTACGCGTGCCACACACACGACATCGTCCCCCTCATATTAGTGACGGCCCGAATTTCACACCAGTGAACGCGTGCTCAAAGCATACCACTGGTCGGAACAAATTCCTAGATTCAGGAAAAAACAGACGTCACCACAATGAGGGATTTGTCACATAGGGACGCCTGGTTGGAGCGCCGCTGGCGGCACCCGAACATGTGTCAGAGGGAGGGTGGGAGAAGTATTACAGGTCAGAGCGTCTAAATTTGCCCACTACATATGTGAGTGGCCTTGAGACAAAGATGTCCAACAACACGATGATGGCTGTCGTCAGATTGGTTATAATGAGGAAGTTGTGCTGAGGTGCCCTAAGAATGGATTCCTCAGCGTCGGCCTCTCTCCGAGGCCATCAACCCATGTCTGACAATACTGGGTGCAGAGGTGTGAGAGAGTAGGTCTACGCTATGCCACCACACTCGCGAACTACATTAGTCATGGGCTCGCGCAGACTCACGACGACCCGATAAACGCGTGCTGTGAGTCAACCTGGCCACTGTTTTGGTCCAGCGCATCTAAGGCGCAGCCCACTGTGGGGGGGAGGGGGGGGGGGGCGAGCTGCAGCTTCAGGGCAATTCACACAAATTTGCGAGGTTACAAAATCCACAGCTGAATTGCACCCGCCTCCCGTCGAAACCGCCCGCTAGCTGTTGTCGTCGCTCTCGAGGGAACTTCGTGGAACCAGAGTTGCGAGATTGCCGCTTGATGGGAGTGGAATGGACTGACCGCCACCCACAGTGAGTTCCTCAATGCGACTCCCAGTGCATGAACGGGGCTGCCTAAAGGGTACTTGGGTACAGGGTGTGGATGTGCACTTTTAGGTGGTTCTCATTGCTGCTTCTTTAAGTGGCAGTTCTTCCTACAGACCTTAAGTGTACCTACCTGAAGTGTATGTACTTTTAACCTGGTCTCACGGTTCATGCTGCAGAAGTTTCCTCGAGCTTCTGCCTACTGCTAAAATCAGCAGCAGCCTTTTGTGTGCAGCAGTGGATGGGCTAAACACATAATCAATATATGTAGTTCCAGTGGCCGTTTATTAATATTTTTTGAGTTTGATAAGTTGAATTTGCCCAGATGATGCCTGGCGGGACGTCCTTCATTCCAACGTTTGATCATCAAACGGCAAAGACACAAATGAGCATTGAAATCCCTCTTCGCAAAAAATAAGCTCGGCAGTCTTCAGTACCTGACTGATGTTATCAAATCAAGCCGGAAATGGTCGCTCAAATCTTCCATTTCTTTATCAGAAATTCTTCGGGATTACGGCATGCTCTTTGCAATTCGACCGTTCGCGTGGTCCCGATCTGCTGGTCAAATTGCCCGCAAAAACGATACCGGTAGATCCTATCTCTGGATTCAACAGCAGCCTTTTGCGGGCGTCAGTTAATGTACTAAACGCATAGTCACTATAATTCCAGTGGTGGTTTATGCATGCTTTTCGACTTCGAAAATTTGACTTTGTCTAGAAGCTGTCCGGTGGGAAGGGGGGGGGGAGAACTTCCTTCGCTCCAGCCTTTGATTGTCATCGATTCTCAGACGGAAAAAGCACTAGCAAGCTTTAAAGTGGGAGATTTATAAATTCAGCATTTGCTGGTGCCGGGCGCTCAACAGACATCGCGTGCCGTTAGATTCTCTCCGAGTACAGGAGGAAGTGGAGCTGAAGAGGAAATTCGACCGAAAAGTAAGACTCAACATGCAAAAAAAGTCGGCCCTCCGATCGTCATTACCTGACTGATGCTATCAAAGTAGGCAGCAAATGGTCATTCAGATCAACTTTTTTTAGGAATTCTTCGGGATTACGGCTTGCTCGTTGTAATTCGACCTGGACGCTGATCCCGATCTCCAGGTCCAATTGCCCGCGAAAACTGTACCGGCAGATCCTGTCTCTACCCCCAGTTAATGTATCGCGTAGAACATTAGTCGTACAATCATTCGACCTAATCCAAAGTAAATTACTTCTATGGTGCCGTGTAAAGACACCATGCTTCTTTTCTCAGCGACTTTGTGTTCAATGATACTAAAAAAGGAAATCAATACGGTGAGCATAGATCCAACTCTCTGATTTTCAGGACTGATAACAAAATGCAGACATCTACCCAGAGGAAGTTAGTAGCAATCATGGAAGTCTAGAACTCACAGTCGTGGTTGTATTTCAGTCGCCTCACAAAGGCATTTGACGACATCGTTTTTTTTATTCTGCGCACGTCACCAAGAAAATACGTACGGGAGCATGCTTTTATACGCATTAATTTCATGGTAGACAGTCAAACGTCAGCCGAGCCATTGTAGAAAGTATTATACCGGGGTGGGTAATAACACAATTATATGACCTCACGGTCTTACGCCCGATTCTTCTGATTGGTAGAAGCGACCACAAATTTCAAATTATTTTTCCCAGTGCGTTCTTGTGAGGGAAGGCTGTCTGCATGCATCACATCAATAAGAGAGATGACTTCCGCTGAAACAAATTCTGGAGTTCTGCACCACCGTCATTTGAGTGCTTAGAAACTCGAGAGTTCCCCCTGGTCATCTATTCCTTCTGTCAGCTTCCTCATGGCCATCAGTGTAACCCTTTATTAGACCTCATTTTCGCTAATCTGTTTGACCTACATAGGAAAATCTCATACGGCTGCAAGCGTTAGAGGCCGTACGCGCAGCCAACTCATAGATCACTGTCAGCGTTAGGGCGCGAATACCGTCTTCTAGAAAGGGTTTAACATGCACCAATGCAGTCCGCTCCAAGGTCATTTATAAAAAAATGTGTCGGCACGCCTGGCGTGTATATGAATACAAACTGTGTAGCCCAGGGGGTGGTTGGCGCGATTCCGTCAGATGACGCACTAATTCCGACCTTCATCTTGCTATACAATGTGACAATTAAACGATTTCCTTGTGACAGTCGCTTGTGACTGTCCACATGCTTGACGTGGTTGTTTACACTTGGACAAGACAGCGCAACGCAGGGTGCACTTGTAATCCCTTCTTCTGCTGACCGACGCCCAGTGACTCTACATTACCTTTTGAAAAGGCATAATACTTGCTCGCGTAAGTCCAATGACGCTGTCAACAGTTTACCTCTAATGTCTGCTCCCGCCTTCAATTAATTCTTTGCACCGGAACAGACAAGGTTCAATTCTACAATGATTTCAGGATTTAGTAGGAAATGTATAGTTTGGAAGTGTGTGTGTGCCACAATGGGATTGTATCATTGTGTGGTCGCGTCTTCTGCTACCATTTTCCTAGGCACTATTAACAGCATTCAGCAATGACGTGTGGATGGTGTTGAAGGTTGCCGAGTGCTCTGGATTTAGTGCGGTCTGGGAGTTGATTTTTAGAGGGGGGGTGGGGTGAGGAGAAGGATGTTTACATTTTAATATAACCACGTTCTCGGCCACCTCCTCTTCCACTGGATGCAAGAACTCACGTGCGAGTGGCATCCATTCATCAGTCCTGATTGCGCGACCAAAATGGACGCATTCGTCTGTGTCCTGCAATCCGCACACAGGAGGGCGGCTACTCAGTCTCAAAACGAAACTACTTTTGTCTGACTTCACAGGAACCTGCAAAATTTCTGCGGATTTTGCCATGCCCGAATAGGTCTTCTGCCACGCCGGGGGGCAAACTGCGGGACTCAACCACTCCTGTTCAGACACTGTCGAGCGTGGTAATTAGTCGAATCACGTTGGGGTCACCAATTTTCAGCCTCTGTGATTGGCTGTCTTCGGGGCTGAATGTGGTCGCGCTCTGGTGCTCGGCGGCCGTATTCACAGGACTTCTAGCGCGGCGCGGAATTGTTATCCCTCTGTTTGCTGCGCGACTGTCTGCGAAGTTCTGGAACCACAGGACGATTATATCTCCGAACCCAATCTACGAACGTCCCGTCACCTCTCCATGATACCGAATACTCCTAATCGCCGCTGGCAGGGTTACGGACCCATGATTTAGTGGTGAGTTAGCGAATTTGACTAGTGCTCAATGGTGAAAGAGCGCGAGTTCAAATCTCAGATCCTGCAAACATGTGGTTAGCTATTGCGACTGGTAACGGTTACTAAACCAGAAGTGATCCTCCCAGCCCCCATTATTTTCGTCGTTATTCCTTCCTCGATCGGCATATCCATCCCCCACCCGCTCACATCACCCTGTAAGACCACCACCACCACCACCACCACCACTGATGAGGGGAAATCGCACTGAAACGTCTTTCACCGATCTGCTGAGACGGCATATTCCTTGCGCGCACGTGACACGGTAGCCCTTCTCTTTCAATCGACGATCGATTGACCGTTTTATGTAGGCGTTTTCAAGCAGCAGAGGTAGACTGACATGCTCTTCCTCGTCTTCGTCCTCCATTTCCTCTTAATTCTTCTTCTTCTTCTCCATCGAGCTTTAGCCTATCCTCGCCGTCGCCGTCGTTGCCCTCCTCCTCCTCCTCCTCCTCATACTCCTACCTCCATTCCCCTCCTGCCCTTCTTCTTCTTCTTCTTCTTCTCCTTCTTATTCTTCCTCGTCTTCTTCTTCTTCGTCTTCTTCTTCTTCTTCCCTCCCCTCTTCTCCTTCCTTTTGCTTACTCCCGTCCTCGTCGTCGTCAACGTCCTCCTCCTCCTCCTCCCCCTCCTTCTTATTCTTCTTCTTCTTCTCCTCGTCCTCCTCCTCCTCCTCCTCCTCCTCTTCTTCCTCCTCCTCCTCCTCCTCCTCCTCCTGCTCGTGAGGAAAGCCAAAATAGTCGGGTAGTGCTGAGGACGTCAGCAGAGAAGTCCGCACATCTATGAGCCATCGCAAGTCAGCAACTACGACACGCTCTGCTCAGTGCGTACGCGCATGCATGCATGCATGCAAATGTGAACGCTCGCGTCGTAGTCTTCATCGCAAAAGTCCGTCCTATCAAGCAGATTGTCCAGCCACCATATTTCTTCACAGTGGCGGCAGCTTTTAGCGTTAGGCCAGTGCAAGTGTCAGGATCATTCCGTAGGCGAAACACGAGGCTGCGGCCGAGGACGTCAAGGATGGCACACACCCACACCGAGGCAGTGAACCGCTGACAGTAGATCCGAGCTAAGATCGATCTGAATAGAACCACTAACATGTCACAATACTCATACCTGCGTAAGGGAAGAAGAAACATTCTGCAAGCAATAGGGGTATATTGGGAACACATAATACTAGTGGTCACTTGTACAAACGGGACGAGTTACAACCAGGTGAAGCGACACTGACATCCAGCTAAACGGCCGGTGGGGTACTGTAACGGAGGACCGTCGTTGAGAGAAAAAGGGAGAGGGATGTTGCGGCGAGGGGTCGGCGGGAGACAGAGGGGTGGACACCGGCCATTTTCATCAGCACGCAGCTACATTGAATGACCGATCTCATGAAATGTTGACTGAAATTCTGAAATGCGTTTTCGATTAGGAAGGATTACTTGGACGCGGTTGTAATACTGATTATATTGAGGCATAATCCTATGATATTTCGGAATCGACAGGATGTCAGCTTTTGAATGCACTGCTTTTCAAACCCCCTCTAGAAACCGTACTCGGTAAAAAAATGACTACTTAAGTAGGATACATGTTTCCCAGTGATTTTCGATGGTTTTGCAAATTCAAATATATTTTATAGAAACGACGAAAAAAAGTATGCATTCTTTCAGTCGTTTATCTATATATATAAAAATGGAAGGGTTTTTTTTCTGTGTTATATCTAATCTCCGAAAGTACTGCACCGATTGCGCTGAAATTTGGATACAACCCGACCCGCGCATAGGGCCGGGTTTTTGTCTGCTCAATTTTGTAATTATGCCGATGGTATGCCTGTGATGGGTAAAAAACTGGATATTTTCCGGCATAACAACGCCACCAGCTGCGGCCACTTGACCTACATCCGCTTGTGCCCACACGTCTGCCCGCCGAGCCACTTGACCGACATTCGCTCAAACGCACGTGCTCCACCCGACGGCCGTGCCCACCCCACCACTCACCTCGCAGGCACTTGGGCAGGCCCTCCACCCCCTCTAGGCCGCTGCAATATGGGCCGCCGAGCAAACCACCCCTGGGGCAAAAAAACACGCGACACTTGGACGCCACTTAAAATTGTCCCACAGCCCACATAATAGGGCCGTCACCGCTTACTCTGGGAATCTTGAGGGTGACGACTGGACGCAGTTAACACCAGCCCCACCACCCCGCGCAACCCATATGATAGGGCTGTCGCCCAATGTCAGCTCAGTGTAGTGCAGCTCGGCTTGCGGAAGCCGGGTTGCGGTCACGGCTACCGCGTTCTGCAGCTTCGGGCCTGCTTAGTTCAGCAACAGAATGAACAATACCGATTTCAACACAGTATCCATTTACTTTTCGGGATGGTGCCGTTGGATATCACTTCGACGTTAAGATCATAAATTCAGTCAGTGACGAGGAAATGCACGCGAAATTTAGTGGAATGAATTGCTACTACTTCCGACTTATGCTTCGACAGAATGTAAGTAAACCCCTTTTGAACTGCCGTCAATTGCTTCATCACTGCATTGTGAATACGCATGCGAAATCGAAACAGGACGCCCGCTTTTCATTCATTTGCATCCGACCAAACTGCGCTCTGAAGAATATATTCGTTTGCATGATGCAGTTGTAAACGACGGTAATACACCTTCCGTTGTAAGACTACTGATTTTTGTCCTCCACATACACAGACAGTTCACGCCATACGCCCGGGTACGCTGGAGGTGCAATTGCTTATGTTTGTCAGTACGGACGTCCAAGCCTACTCTTTACATTCACATGCAATCCAGCTTGGGGGGGGGGCTATTTTTCAGCTCTCACTTCTCGGGTTATCGCCCCTGAAAAGGAATGACATCAGAGTACATGTTTTTCTGCAGAAAACCGAAATCGCTGATGAACTTCATGGTGAAACACGAGGTGGTTGGGTCAATGCGCTGCTGGATGTATTAGGTGGAACGGCAAAAGTGGGGACTGCCCCCTGCACATGTCCTGATCTGGTTCTATAACAAGATCGCCTCCAGCGAAAACGACGACGCAGTATGCGCCGAATTATCTGATATCGACGTCGACAGTGATTTGAATGAAGTTGTGGCGAAGAATATGCTACATGGACCTTAGATGCACTGAATCCCAATTTTCCAACCAACCCCTTCCCCCGGCATGATAGACGGAAGTCCCTTATACCGAAAATGATCAGCGGAAGACATCGGCAAATTGGCAACCGTACGAATGCGAATCGGTGACATAGAAGTCGCCAACCGCTGGGTTGTTTCGTATTCGCCTTTGCTTTTAAAAGCAAACGCAGTTCACATAAAAGTGGAACACTGCAATTTTGGGAAATGAATTAGGTACATTTGTAAGTACGTGAATAAAGGCAGCGAAATGGCCGTTTTCGGCCTGCAACACGAAAGGAGATAAAGGGATGCGGACGTACAACACAATGAAATCGCACAATATTGGGCTGGAAGATGCGTCAACAGCAAGAAATCCATGCGGCGAATTCTTTCATTCCCCATCCATGAGCGAAGTCCAGGTGTTGTTCGCTTGCAGTACAGTTAGAGAATGGGCAATGCGTTTACTTCACCGATGCAAAACGCGCAACAGGTTGCCTTAGGTCCACTGGCAACAATATCAACTTCGTTCTCCACGTTAAGCCAAAGTGACGCCTTTGCGAAACCACCGCTGCATTCGGAAGTGCTTACGCATTACACAGGGAATGGGCGTAGAAAATCATCCGAACAACGCAAACGAGGAGAGCGAATGGACGGACACCCCGGCATACTCAAAGGAACTGCGATGGGCAGACTGCATACCGTGCATCCCAATCTTACTTCGCATGGTGTTGATGAATGTGCCCGGTCCAACCCATTTCCAGCAATTGAAATCTGTCAACGCATGCCACTTTCAGCAGTGTGTGTCAGGCTTTTCCGTTACTGGATAACGATCAACAGCGGGACGTATGTATTAATGACGCCTGCAACACGTCCCATCCACATTAAATTCATGCATTGTTTGCAGTCATATTGACCGCATTTTCTCCTCATCTGCAACGGATTTACCGGAGAAATAGAATTTGCAGGTGGCTGAAGATACCTTCCGTCAACTATGCAAGTAAAATTCAAATGTGGCTTGCACAACAGGAATCTACAGCGAGGCGTTAATACTGATTGAGGATATGTACGCCGAAATCGCGAACAAATTTCTTAATCAACTGGGAATGTCGCCGCAAAAATAAAACACGGTTTAACTTCTGCCATGCTTGCAATCAAACATTTACAAGGTAAAACTGGAGCAGAATGGCATTTACGATCAAATACTGCGGAATGTCAGTAACGAGGTTGGAGGAATCTTCTTCCTAGATGCGCCAGGAGGGACTGGCAAAACGTTCCTACTACGACCGATTCTGCCGGCAATTCGATTTAATAAATGACATAGCCCTAGCACTTGCATCCCCGGAATAGCTGCAACTCTGCTACCTGGCAGAAAATCCGTTCATTCAGCTTCCAAATTGCCTTTGAATGCGCAATTCATTGAAACTCCCGCGTGCAACATTTCCAAAGCATCCGGCATGGGAAAAGTACTGCGGAAATGCAAACCTATTGTTTGGGATAAATGCACAATGGCGCAAAAAAGCGCTCGAGGTCCCTGACCGAACGCTGCAGGATTTGCGAGGAAACAGCAGATCATTTCCGATGCACTGCTACTGCTTGCTGGAGACTTCAGGCCACCACTGCTTCGATCGACACCGGTGGACGAAATAAATGCCCGCCGTCACCACTTACTCCGCAATTCTCGAACGCGACTGGGTGCAACAAACAATTGCCCTGCCTTTGAAAGCGGCTAGATGGACAAGCCTGGGTTTCGCATACAATATGTACCGCCAACCAGTGACCCTTACATTTTTTTAATTGTGAACGTGCTCCTTCCTCTTTCCCTTACTCCCCAATTCATCAGATTGAGCCACAGCAACGCGTGGCGGGGTCCGGCTAGTATTTTATATTCTAAGAAGGAGAATAATTAGTTTTTAAAAAGTTCCTGATTATGAGATTTTTTAAGACGGCGCAATGTCCATTCATATAGCATCGTACCTGTCCGCTCCTCATGAAATGTACTACATAGTCCGCATCCATTGTAAAATGTTATGAACTCTGTATGATATCTTTTTGATGGCATAGATAAATATGTTATTTTCTTGACGCGGAACGCATGCACCTTGTAGGCTGAAATCACTAAGCGCTAATACAACGAATGATCGGGCTCCAAATTATTCGGCAATCAGAAAACTTTTATAAAACCTAATTATGCTCCTTCCTTGAGTATAAAATATAAAGGAGACGTGATTCTCTATTAAATGACTGAGAGAAAGCCTACTCTTGTTGTCGTTTCTATAAAATATATTTGAATTTGCAATACCATCGAAAATCATTGGGAAAAGTGCATCCTACTTAAGTAGTCATTTTTTACCGAGGACGGTTTCTATAGGAGATTGGAAAGCAGCGTATTCAAAAGCTGACATCCTGCCGAGTCCGAAATATTATAGGATTATGCCGCAGGATAATCAGTATTACAACCGCACCCCATTAATCATTCCTAATCGAAAACGCATTTCATGAGATCGGCTACTCGCTGTAAACCATCGCCATCCTAGGTCCGCGTGCCAAGAATGTATCTTCATTCAAACAATCCTATACAGGTAGTGGAGCGTTACAACTCGCATAGAGCATCGCAGTGGATTGTAGCGGAGACGCCGCAAACGACCAAGAGAACCACTGATGACGGGTGCATAGCATTAGTAGTATACGAATACTGATTGATTTGCCCGGAACAAGAATTTTATTCAGGTTAGCAGGCATTGGAGATCCAGGTCGATAATAGGAGAAAAGTGTAGGACTCAATGTATTTTCTTTTCAAAAACATTAACTAAGTGGGGTTGCAAAACTAATAATCATGCAGTACAATCCTAATAATAATTCAGTTACCCCGGGACGCTGACTTTCAAACAAACTTCTTTCCGACTGCATTTAAAAACTATACTCCGTGAAAAATGACTACTTAAGTAGCATGTATTTTTTCATTGAATTTCGTGCACTTAAAGACTCAATTATATTTCACAGAGAACATGTATAAAAATATTCATTGTTTTGTTCATTCAGTAGAAGAGTACGTCTTCTTCCAATTTTATACTCGAAGGATGCGTATAATTTGGTTTTATAAAACTTTTCCAATTCCAGAATAATTTTGAACCCAACCTGCCGTTACACTTGCATTCAGGGTTCCCAAACTACAAGCCGTATAATTTCCGTGTACGGAAAACCAAATATTTGTCTACGGTATTAGGAGGAGACCATATGGGGTTCATAAAATTAAGCAGTGGATTTGAACCACATTGTGAACTTAACAAGCCACATTGGAAAATGCAGAGACATGACGTTTTATGAGCGGCCACATCACGATATTGAAAAATCTCGCAATTATAAACTTTTTAAAACCGAATTATACCCTTCCCTTGAGTATAAAATTGATAGAAGACGTAATTTTCTGCCGAACGAGCAAAAGAATGAATATGTTTATGCATTTCTTCTATGAAATATAATTGAATCTTCAAGGACATCGATCCTGGGGGTCTTTTGTTATCTACACATACAGTTCAAATCCTCTTTAGATCCCTCAGAAATTAACGTGTGGGGCTGGAAAAAGAGTTCCGAAAGTTTTGCTGAAATTCACTAACTTCATCGGAATAACCGCGCAGTACGCACAATCTGCCCGTACTATGTGATGAACCATACCGCCGACAGGGGTATTCGTTATCAACTCAGACACGCGTCTCGCCGATTTTGGACATACACATGATACAAATGGGAGAAATTCGATTTCTCATCGTGTCCGTCAGCCCTTCCGGGTACTTTCTGTGGTATAAACACACCTGCTTTTACATGTGCTCATAAATAATCAATGATTATGCGGCTAATTATTTCTTTGCTGACGGGTGAAAGGTATAACTTGTTGCCAGCCAAACACAAATGCATGTCTTTGGTTCATAATTTATTCTGTCAGATGTGGTTATTTAACCCCACCTCAAGTAAGCAAACCCCAGCCACCTGTAATACGGGACCGGTGGTAATAGAGGTTTATACGGGTAAGGGGGCCGGGGAACGCACAGGCGACGACCTGTTTGAAATACGCGGTTGTACTTTGAGTGGTTGAGAAACAGTTGCTCTAACCCATAACCATAATCCCTAACCCCAAACCCAACATTATCGTGTCCGTCAGGTGGGGCTACATAACCACATCTTACCACCTCATTTCGCCATCCCCCTCCCCAAATTAGTATTGCTTGTGTGTGCCCCTGTCCGCCGCGTAAGACGTCGAAAAACTGACCGAGTGCACACGTTTTAGGGCAAAGGTTGACTTCTGAACCCCAGAGCACACACCACGTCACAGCAACGGGGTACCCCAGATGGCCAGGGCGACTGAAATGTCTACACACGTTCGACCGTCGCTGACGACGATGTTCACCCACAGGAAGGTGGGGTCAGGAACAGCGACTTGCCCGTGAGTGAGTTTAAAGCGATAATGGACTTGCGAAACGCCTAACGCACCCTCTCCTCCCTACCTGAGCCCTGCGTCGGGATAGAGACAAGAAAAACGGAGGCGGAAGAGGCCGCAAAACCCCGCACCCAGGCGTACCACCACGTACGCTGACTGGGGGGGGGAGGCGGATCCCGACTGGTGCAACGAGAGCCCGCACCTCGGCGTACCACTACGGTCCAAATGTTGACACTTGTTATGGGAGTGCATTATTGATAACGCCTGCCGGATTCTAGCCTAGCTCCCATGCTGGTTCAGCCTATCTACCCAGCCTACCGTTTGAGGGGCACACGAGTACATATGTCCTCACTTGTGAGCCTGCATGCGTGCGACCAGCTCACGGATCAGACGGGAAAAGGTCCCTGCAAGTTGCGAAAGTCGCCAGGACTGACGTCAGACGCCCCACAGCGTCTCCTCAGGCGTGCTGTTAGCGCGGTGTGAGACCCTCGTGTGTGTGGGTGTGTTTGCCACAGGCAGTCCCGATCAGGTCTTTTATTGTTCCTAGAGGTACGCCCTACTTTGGCTGTGTGTGGGGTTAGGGGGGGGGGTGACAGACTGAAACATATTTCTGGTTCCAACCGCATGCAAAACAGGCGCGCAGACGGAGCACCTGATTCCTGGACCGTCGCAGGAGAGAGAGAAAGAGAGTGGCGGGATTGTTGGTGATGGACAAGCGGCAGAAATCCAGATATGCCTAGTGTTTTTCTCTACTGGAATTATTCAGGAGGGAGTCGACTTCTCAGAGTACATGAGAGAAAACCGGAACAGGTAAAGAACAGTGTTGAGAAAGAGCGAGGAGTCAGGGGAGACAGTGTATCGTCGTTTAAAGGATCATTAACAAAATGGTCGTTACAAACTCCCTTCTCTTTTTCGGTAATGTCATTCTGCATATGTTCCTAGTCGCAGTGCAGACGACTACGGGACTCTAAATTGAGTAATCGGTGGACGTTCCTAATCATATGCACATATATTGTAAGGGTATTATACCGTTTTCCCGACACAGATAGTAGCTAGAAGCTCAGACACGTGTTTCGCCGATATTGTGCCGCTGTGTGACACAGCAGCGAGGAGTTTAGCTCTTTAGTAGGCCTCCAAGCGTCTTCTATGCGGTTTCTGGTATATGAGCTCCTTAAAACAATCAAGCGAATAATTTCAGAAATTATTCAGTGCAGGATATAGTGTTAAGTCTCCGGACCATGACTTTTTAGGGTCAGACCCGAGATTTCAGTGAACATTCAAATCGAAGACAATTAACTACTGTGGAAAAATCACTCAACGCCCACTCCACACACAAGCAGTACTGCAAGTAATATGAAATATATATTGTAATTAGATTATATTATACATCATACGGATAATAGTTAATATGTATAACTTGCAATGCGACGTATGTTGGTGAAACGGGCAATGATTGCACGAACCCCAACTTGCAATCAACCTCAAGGACAACCTATCCTTGGTCTATGGCCACATACGAGAACTGAACCACGATTTTACCTTTAAGAAATCGAGAGTACTTGGTCGAGCCAATGAGAAGATCGCCAGACTTGTGCTCGAACGTTGGTCATTTACTGGCACACTCAACCGAGCTATAGATCTACAACCCGCCTACTAGGCGCTGCGTAGAAGGCTCGGATCAGTCCGGACAGAACCAGCAAGGCAAGTGAGCACGCGGAACCGAGAGTCAAAGCTCACGGAAAAGAGCGGAATTGGGGGCCAGAGGTCATGTGACCAAAGCCGAACACTGTCTCACCGATGCGCCCGCGAAGCTGAATGCTGCTCACTTGAACAGCAACGACCGATCAGTCCACCGGCTGATGTGGGAGAGGCCACCATGGCAGGTTGAGTTGACTACAATTACGTCGACCCCAAAGGGAACAAAGGTCACGCAGGCCTGTCAGCGGTCAGCCCCGCGGAAGTCTAATCCAGCCAGCGGCAAGCACGGCTATAATACGAGGCAAGCGGCAAGACTGAACAACTGAAGACCGGCAGGAGCAATAAATACGCTACTCTAATGATGGAAACGAGGAAGTTTCCGAAACGTCAGTTCGAATACGATATGGTCCATAAATCCGACCTCTCTTCTTCTTCGTCTTCTTCGGGAGATGATGAACACGATACAACGTCTGGACCTCGAGTCTTTACGCATAATGGTATATGCCCGTTTCACCAACATGCGTCACATTGCAATTTATATATATTATAACGGCTAATAAGCCAGAAATGGCCATTCCAGTCTCCCTTGTCTTTGTCGGTAATATCATTCAGCCTATATATCATGCGCCGCTGTGCGGCTGCTGGTTGGGCTCGAGAGAGAGCCCTTAAGGCACAACGGAACGAGTGAGTTCCGTATGAACGATCGGTGAGCGCCCCCTAACATTATATATTATATTATATATTACCTGTATAGTATATAATATAATCCAATTACAACATATATATATATTTCATATTTCTTGTAGTGCTACTAGTGTGTGGAGTGAGCGTTGCGTGATTATTCCACAGAAGTTGATTGTCTTCGATTTGAATGTTCACCGAAATATCCGGTCTGACCCTAAAATGTCATATATATATATATTGTACATATAATGGTAAAGGGGACGCTCACCGGACGCCCATCAACCACGGTACATATATTCGATCGCAACCAACGGAACAACGGGTCCGTGGCTCAACTGCTAGGGCGTTGGGCTTTGAGCCTCGGGGTTGACAGTGGCTGGGTGATGGCAGCTAATAAGACGGAAGTGGCCATTACAGCTTTCCTCGTTTTCGTCGGCAATGTTATTCCGCGTTACTTTTCGAGACTGGCTCTTCAGCTCGTCGTCAGACTTATGGGTCATTTACAATAACAATTAACCGCTTAACCGTATCGATCAAGGGATTTTGGGGTTAGCCTAAGCCTGCACCAACGCGCATCAACTGCTGCGCTTGCTTCCATTTATATTTGAGAAATTTGTATGTGGCATCTAAATGGATGTGCCGACTGATGCATGCCTTACCTGAATGCACTGCTTCCAGCAATTCACGCCTTGAAATGGGCATCAGCAATGCTAGTATTCTCCCACGAAAAGTTGTGCCTAGTGTCCAGCGTGTGCATAGCCAGTTGGGACAAGTTATTTCGTCTTCTCACCGCCAACTCCTCCTCCTCCGGTGCTCCAACGCCTGCCGTCGTGGCGTCTGCCACGCACATCAACACCGTACCCAATCCACCACTGTAGACACCAGAAGTGAGGAGCAGGATTACACCTGCCCGCATTGCGACCACACTTTCACCTCACGCATCGGCCTGGTCGGTCGCTTGTGAATCCATCGCACAGAGACTGGCGAACCAGTGCCTGGAGCACCAACCTACACCCACCGCACTCGCCTCCACTGCCCACACTGTCCTCGCACTTTCACGCATCCCATGGGCCTATTCGGCCACATTCGCATCCACGACGACCTGAGATAGACAACCGCCGGCTACACCACACCACCACGCCCTCCCTGTCACCACCACCACCACCACCACCACCACCACCACCACCACCACCACCACCACCACCACCACCACCACCACCACCACCACCACCACCCCACCACACATCAACACTTACACACCGCAAGCACCCAAATGCCACTTCCCACGCAAGTGGGAAGTGTGCACCTCGACTCGGTCTCCGCGCGGCCTCTGCTGCACGAGTGACTTGAGTCTGAGATTATCAAGCGCCATGAATAGGAAGGCTGCTGATTGACGTCCCCATTCGGTCCACGATGTCCGTTCCGTTGTGTGTGTGTTGTAGAGTGGCGGACTGGTTAGCTGTGACATGGGCTGAAACAGCGCCTTCCACGGCCCCCTCACGCAATTAAGAGATACGCAGCTCAATCCCCGTTGTGTGAAATCCTGGTGTTTGTGTGTATGGGGGGCCAGGTCGTGCTGTGGCGCGCGCAGGCATGGCCACTCGACTATGCCAGCCACCCCACCCATTCTCCCCCCTCCAGTCTGCTGACCGGCTCGGACAGCGGCTGGGGTGCGAGAATGGGAAGGGCGAGTGAGGTTGACGACTCAGCGCACTTTCCTCACTATAAACAATCTGACGCGCTTGAAACTATCACGGTGCGCTAAAGGCCGTGGTTTGGAAGGTTGCCAACTGACGGGATAACTTGGAACTCCTCCTTGACTGGTGGTGGTCTGAGAGTCAGGCTGCAATGTCTCCTTCTTATTGTGGCCTTATGGCACTCCTATCACAGTGTGGGATCCGAGCCAGTCGTTGGCGGCACGCCCAGGTGCGGCTTCTGCCGTGCCAACCACGCTTTTGTTGTTTTTTTTAAATCCTGGTCATTTGCTGTGTGGACCAGGGGTTGTGGAATGGAACACCAAGGTGCAGGCCCGACCGCGCCATCCACATGCGCCCTTCTCCGCTTCCTGTCTTCTTGACTTTGTTTTGACACAGGGCTCAGGTGGGGGAGAGAAGAGTGTGGTAGATGCAGCGTAAGTCGACATTCACTGTAAACTAGATTACGCGTAAGTCATCTTGCTTGCTTCACCTAGTTGTGGGGCACACGGTAAACATCGTCGGAAACGACAGTTTAACTGTCATGACCATCTTACTTGTGTGTCAACTACCGAAAAATTAAAACTGCCTATCGTTCAGACTTAGTATAGGCTATTTTTACTGTCTCACGCGAGCAGTTCACTGTCCGCAAAGAAGCTCACCTGGGCTGATTGTCTGCAGCCCAAATATTTGGGTCAAATTTCTGTCTGAGCCTATAAAGTTTAACCCAGACCAATTTAATCTAATACAAAAGGCAGTTTGGTGAGCATATGTCTGCTTTCGAGAAATTCTCCTCAGGCCTGTACATTTATATGGCTATTAAAGTAATGAATATAAAGATACGGGCAAGTAGATATTTAAGCCGTCGCCCGGGTTCGGAAGGGGAGGAGAGGGGGAGAGTAGTTTTGTATAGCTTGTTGGGACCTTGTAAATCAGTCTGAAGGCCTCTCTGGCGCCTACACGGTGGTCTGTGTCTACCGTGTGCGCGAGAATCGAGCTGTTGGTGTTCTTTATTTGACCCTTTCCTAACCATGCTGGAAGATGTTCTTTTAGATAAACGCCGGCTGGTGCGATCAATATATTCTGCCCCCAAGTTGGTGGTTAATTTCGCCCCTAAAATCCGCCATGCGGTAGATGCATTGGACCAACGCAGGGACCAAATCGGAGTCCGGCCGGTGTTATCGGGAACGCACACCCACAACAAACGCCAGCATTCGGGGTGAGGTAGTCGGTCCAGTTGCAGGCTGACATCGCGTCAAAGGGGATCCCTGCACCCCCCCCCCTATTGTTGCTGTTGATTATAATCCTATAAAGGGTCTGTTGTGAACCAGGGGGTATAGAGTGGAGCTCCAAGATGCCGGCTCCCGCCGCGCCATCCCCGTGTGTCCTCCCCCGCCTCCGGCCTTCTTGACTCTGCCTTGACGGCGGACCCAGGTGGGGGGAGGAGCAGAGGGTGCGGTAGATGCAGCGCAAGTCTACGTTCACCATAAAATAGTTCACGTACATGTCACCGTCCGTGCTCTCGCCTTGCTGTAGAGCACGCGGTGAGCGTCGTCGAAACTTACCAGCGAAGTGTCTTTTATCTAGGTCACCATCTGTTTGGACATAGCTTTCTCGTCCCGCGTGATTCAGGTAAAGCATGAGCATGTTGTTTTTGAAAAGCCGGGCGTTTTTCCTGTTGGAAAATTTTAGACTTGCAAATATGTGTGATGTTATGCCTTAAAATTCTTAATAACGCCCACAGCCGGTTGGATGCACTTTGACTGGTTTCATTAATTTAGGCATTTTTTTCATTAATCAAGTCATTTACTGTACCATATAAGCGAGTTTGCCCTTAAATATTTCAGGAAGAATCCGCTAACATATTTCACTCTGGACGGTGCTCAGTTCTAAGTGCACAGTGACAGACTCGAGAAGTTAAAAAGTAGGTTTCAGAAACGTTATAGAAGCAAAACCTCTGAGTGTGGCATAAAAGGACTTTATTTAGACGGAACCGCATAAGGACTGGGATTTTAATTATAGTGCTCACAGAAGTGATATTCGTGGTAGAAACAGGTAACCATCTATGGGATAGCAGGACAATCGAGCACCTATTTCTGATACTTACCACAGTGCTTTGGATAAAACCAACAAATTAGCTAAAATTCCTTTACGTTAAAATCACCGGCAGTTAGAAATCTAGGAGTATTTTACGTTTAAGAGACCAGGCATCATTCGACAGAAGACTATAGCTGGAGCAGTCTCCCAACTCGCAGCAAACATGCAAAATGCTAAAACGGTATATGTAAATGCGGAATGAATGCACGTACTGATTAAAACAGCACCATATGTCAGCAATGGCGACCCGAGTATAGCACCCAGGAGCGCTCGTTGCGTGGTAAATTTCTTCGTAAAAGAAGTTGGCAGTGTACCTGGCATTTTTTGATGTTCTCGTACAGCAAAACACTGACGGGACATTCCGCGCAGCAGTATACCGCGAAGAAACTTGTACAGATGTTATCCTACATTACGAGAGCAACCACCCTATCTCTTACAAACAGAATGCTACTAACAAACTACTTAATCGAGCAAAGATGCACTGATCTGAGAGCGAAGGATACAAAATAGTATTTAATTATTTGTTCAACCTATTTCCCCAAAATGACTGCCCTAGAGGTTCAGCTTGTATACCCTTAGGATAGTTTTGGCTATTTGGAAAAAAAGAGGTAGTCTACAAGATCCCATGTGGCACTTGTAATGCAGTGTATTGTGGTCAAACCGAGAAATCCGCCTCCGCACGCCTAAATGAACACCAGTTTGCCGTAAAGAGGCGAGACCGCTTATCCCAAGTCGCCGTGCGCATACTCAAGAAATTGGGCACAAATTTGCAAGAGATAAGACGCGCATTGTTGGTCCCTGCCCATATAAGAAAGGCCGAGAATTTCAAGAGGCCATTCACTCTGATGTCTTATGCATCAATCATGCAAATTTTCAATAAAAATTGACTTCGTGATAACCAATCGAAACATGGTATCAGCTCACAGCATCGCCTGATTCGCATCGCTGACAAGGCAGTATCGATTTTTCGTCATGCTTGAAGTTTAAATGTTTTTCACGCTTTCTGCACGTCTAACGATGACCTGGGGAACCAACATCGAACGTTTGTGAAATAAAATTTGTCCAATTTCCCAAAGGACTCGTTTTTTCTTTGATATATTTACTTATTTACTATAGGTCAATAATCTCATGAAATATGCCTCAACTAAAGAAAAATGACTAATCAATTTAGGATCGGTTTAAACGCATCCACCAAGACACCAAACTGACAATGAACGACCACCAGTTAAATAAAAAAGCGCGAAATAACTGCTAAAAGTACAACTTTGTGGGCGAGACAGAATACTTTTTAGAAAGCGCGGAAATCAGTGTCACATGAGAAGACTCCAATTTTAAAAGTGCAGAATGTCTGTCCATGCAAAAAACAATTATTAAAAACAATATAAGCACGGTCGTTTCAAAAAATGTCTTTTTATACGTTTCTATTTAATATCGTCAAATAATCGGCATTATATGAAATATAGCACAAAGTCAAGTGCATAATGTCGGGCCACGTTTTTGGAGATCCTGTCACGCAACGTCGGCGTACTTTCCAATTTTTTTACTGTTGCATATGCGGGTAACAGAAGCAAGGAGGGTTTTGATTAATTTTGCTGATAGTAACTTCACATTAATAGGAGTTTCAATAAGTTCACATATAGGCAAGCTGGTCAGTGACTACTAAATTTGAATAGAATTGACAGGCGCAGTCGTAAACGTACCATTTTTTGTATATTAAGAGAACCTTTCTTCCATGAAATTTATTTACAATTTTTACGCTTGATGCCCTTGGTTGAGTTTCAGGTCGTCGTTGAAATATCTGTCAATACTTAGTAATTTTCTGTGTGTTTATCGATTGCCCACAAAGATAGGCTTTGTGCTATGTATTTATTAAACCCTTAAAAAGAAGCTTTTTGTAAACATTTAACGAAGTAGTGAACGATTCAGCGTTATTTTCCATGGAGATGGCCGTTTGGTTACATTTGAAGACTTTCCTAAACACGAAACCTCATTGCCCAAAAACGAACGTCCACGACAGTCAACAAAAAAAATATGTTTTCGACCAGTTGAAAAACTTTCTCTAATAGACTGCCTATCTTAAAAAAAATACTTTTATACTGTATCCTGTCGACGAATGTCCAGGTACTTTAACTTTTACACAGCAATGTGAAAGTTGGCACTTATTGCCGCCTTTTCATTACTCTGAAAAATAATGATGATGTTCCCGCCATAAACTGAAGCACTTTCGTGTTCTCTCTAAATTACAACCATTTGCGCTATTTTTTATTACGTGTAAGCATCTTTTTAGAATTATAAATGCGCAGAATAGTCAAATAAATACTGACAAATCGAACAAACTGTTGACGTTTTGCTGGTATCGTCACTTAATTACGTATAAACAGAGACTTTACTATTTATAAGATCAAAATAGGAAATGACTGCCCGATGCTGGTCAATTTGACAGTCACTCATAAAGTATTCGCAAACGGCACGACAATATTGGCACGTTTAAACAAAGGACTGCCTCTGGACGTTACTACTGCACTTTAGGGCGAGAAATTACACGGACATACAAATCAA